GCTTTACTTAAATGAGAACTCTCTAGTCAACATCTCTGGCCAGGCAGGTGTAAAGGAATCCTAATTTAAAGAGGCAGATATTTTTTAATATAAATATAAACTACAGCATATTGTATACCTCAGCAATAATAATTTTCTGTTTCTTTTAGCCCATTTGGCAGCCTCAAGACAATGATTTGCTGGCACAAGCATATGCAGACTCTGAACTGAATCAGTGTGGAATATGTGAATTCTGTCGAGAAGTTTTCCCACCATCTCTAACATCTAAGGAAGATTTTCTTCGGCATCTCAATTCCCACTTTAAAGTACAGTCTTAATGTATGAGAATTCAATGGTTCACTGTTTTTGCATACATTTATACATTTTTTTATTCAATAGATATGATAAGAGTTTAAGAATTAAGACTTCTTGTAAAAAGAACTCATGACTGGAATTGTTTGTCAGATAAGCACATTTTTAGTTGTTTTTGACAAGGGAAAATGAAACTAAGTCACTCAGTACTGTAATTCACATTATTGCTTGTTATGCTTCACTATTAACTTTGAGAGTGATGTCAAACACTTTTTTTTCCCAATTAATCTTTGCCGGAATAGGCCTGAAGTTGTGACTATATTTATGAATATAGACTTGCAGGATTAATGCCTTAATCTGGCTGGCAAAAATTGGAGTAATGCAAGGATTTTTTGACAATATCCAGTGATGTGATTATGTTCTCCCTGAAGTAAACAGGAAGAGAAATAGGCCCTCATTTTTCATTTATATTATATAATTTCCAAATAGTGAACCTCTTAATTCAGATTCCTGTAAAATTATCATTATAGCTGAATCCAGGTGTGCTAGAATTAGGATAGGCTTGTACACTAGTAACATAAATGAATGGTTGACTTTCCCAGATGAATTTTTTACTAAAGTGAGTAATCAAAAGTAACATATTAATGACCCTTTTGCCAAAATGCAGCAGTAATGATTTTATGAATATCTGTTAGATGTTATAAAAAAATAATTATTATCTTGTTCATGTACCTTTATAGCATTAATAATTACTAAAAATGCTTTCAGGGAACAAGTATGAAGGATAGAAAAGGTTAAACTTTCCCCAGAACTAATAATACCGAAGATTATTTGCCTTCCCTTCTGGTCTGCTATGATGGATTGCCCAAGTCTGGTACAGACTAGAAAGGAAAGGGGAAAACTTAATCATCCAAATCTCAGTGAATTTATTTTTATCCTGAATATAGTGGCTTTCTCAATGCAATTAAAATTTGTGTTTAGTTGAAACAGTGAAGTCTGATAAAGTTTGCACATTTTCTGGATTTACTGATATCAAATTTATAAATAGGGGTGTTGCCAAGTATTTTAAATTAATGATAAAGGGTGCTTGCTTTTTGCATTTGAACTGAATATAGAGTTTAGCCCTGATATTGATAATTAGCATTAATATTTTCATAGCAGCAAAGCACAACACCTTTTCTTTTTAAAGATTTGTTTGCAGGTGACAAATTTCTGGAAGAATTAACACCTGCGTAATTTTTAGAAATGGATTTTTCTGCAATTATTTTCTCTATTTTAAACATGTCGTGTTTGTGACGGGCTGTCAGCAGAGTGTACTGCAATAAACAGCAGTGTACAGAGCACGTCTGCTCCGTGACCTGGAGGGAGCGTTTGTTACTCCTCGGAGCACCGGAGCGGCCGGTGCGCAGCGCCGAGGAGGCGACGCTCGGCCGGGCCGCGCCGTGCGGGGTGTGAAGCGCCTCCCCGGAGAGCGCGGCTGGGGGTGGTGCCCGGGAGAGGCGCAGGTTCCAGCCTCGGGAGGAGAGAGGGGATTCGCACATCTCCAGCCGGCCCGACACGCAGCACCGACCCGTGCTCTCAGCCGTGAAATTCGAGCTCAGAAGCTCGCGTTATTAAGGGATGCACGAACTGCGAATCACCTTTGAAGAAAATAAAGTCGTCTGTTTGTGCCCCCCGCCCCCACGCGTGGATGCGGTTCCCCAGGAGCCCTTGAGCTGGCAGAACCGGGAGCCCTGCACCGAGCCCGAGTCCCCGCGCGGGGACAAGGCTCTTTGTTGCTGGAGGCAGCCTGGGGCAGCGGGGAGGGCGGCAGGAGGTGGGGGGAACACGGCTGCCCAAAGTCTCGCCGACCGGCGGAACCCATCCATCTCCCACTGTGAGGGCTCCTGCCTAGTGCTGCGTTTTAGGAAGCTGTGTAATCCTGCGTGCGTAAAACTGTTGCTGCCTGAGGGCATCCAGATAGGCTCACCGATCAGACCACTGCGAGGAGCACTAGTTTAGTTTTTAAATAAACAATAAATAAATAAATAAATCTCACGCTAAGCAGTTGTGAGCGACTCGAAGTGGGAGGCGAGTGCGGTCCCTGAACAGGCCCCCCTTATACAGCTTTCCTGGAGGCGGCTGCTGCTGCCAGCAGGGACATCTGCTTTATTACACTCACCAGAGGAGGCTCAGTATTCCTCCCCTTCCCTCCCTCTTCCACACAAGCTCAACCCGGCAGAGTAGGCTGAATCCAAATGGGAAGTAGAATGTCATTAAAAATCATAAATATGGTGGAAGGAACTTAAGAGGACAAGAAGAGCAGCAAACTCGTGCCAAGGTGTTCTACCGAATTCCAACTCCGCCAGGGCCAGCGGAGCGCTCGCCAGGGCAGCCCCGGGGCTGGAGCAGTTTCAGGGCTCCCGTACGAGTTCATTGTCACCCCGCCCCGCGCTGACGGTGCGCGACGCGTGAGCCCCCCGCGCTCACAGCAGCGCTCGCAGGGAAACAAACCGCTCCCGGCTCCTATCGGGAGCTCTCTGAGGGACACTGCGGCTGCCTCAGCCTGCTGCGAGGGCTCGGTGCCGGCGGCCGGCTAGAACACATGTAGCTCCTCTGTCTCTCCGGCTAACTCGACAGCTGCTCGTAGCTCCAGTAATTAGACTGTCACTGCTTGTTAGAGGAGAGGAAAACGCTCCTATGACAGATTCCACGAGTCCTCTGTTTTTTTAAAAAATCTCGCAGAAATCACCAGAGCATTAACTGAGATTTCTTATTTCTCTAGAATCAGAAGGAAAGTTCCCTCTCCGATCTCGCACTCCACTCCAATGAGATCTCTCTTCCGACTCCCATGAAACTGAATTCGCTCTAGGAGGTTGAGGAAGTTACCTTCCTTCCCCTGCCTACCCAGGAGGAAGAGGGAGCTTCCTGGCCTTGTGAACTTGCTTTTAAAATCCCTTCCCCGTATGGCTGTATCTAACCAGATAATAGAAATGCAGTCTTTTCCTCATTAACTGAGCGGAGGAGTCGCTCAACACACAACACGCTCAACACATCCTTCCCCATCCGAGATAATATTAATTCAGAGGATGCTCAGGAGAGGCTGTTACCCCTTACGAACAAAAGCAGTGGAGGATCAAGCCGAGATGCTGCTACCCCCACCCCATGGTTCTCTCAGCAGATGAGACTCAGAGGAGGCGATTTCTTCCCCTCCCTGCCGTACATTCCCCTTTCCCCCGCAATCATACAAGGTTAACTCAACAGAGGAGTCTCAATCCAAATGGCAACTGGGATTGCATTAAAAAAAAAAAAGAAAAGAAAAAAAAAAGAAAAAGAAAAAAAAAGAAGGAAGGGGGAGAAAAAAATCAGAAATAGGGAAAGAAAAGAGAAAAAGCAGCAGGCTGATTACGAGGTGTCAAAACTGCCAGGAGCAAGAAGGTGATAGCAATCAGGGGTGAGAAGAGTGCGCCATTCGTGCGGGGCAGCTAATTATCCGTCTCATTTGAGAAGAGCAGCATTCGAGGCAGCAGCGTTCGCCTGCTGAACGGTGACAGATTGGCGCGGAGGAGAGGGGAGGTGTTAAAACAATGGAGCCGGGCTTGCGAGCGCTGCTGCATGCTAATCAGCCCGGCCTCCTTCCTTCCTTCCCTCCGCC